AAAAAAAAAACAGCAAGCGCTTGTCTTGCTTAAAAATGCAAAAAACATAAGTTCCTCTTTGACTTATTGATTCAGTATGAGGTTGGCAATTCTTCAGAGCTCCTTTACTGAGAGAATAATCATCATCATGGTAACAAAAGGCGGGGATCCAAACGAGGTAAAGGAACATCTTGATTGGGTAAGTGGAAGGATAGAGTTTAGCATAAAATAGCAGAAAAGCCCACGTTGTCGTACTTTTTTTTATCTTGAAGGTATTGACATTCTTCTTAGAAAAAAGCTATTTTCGTCAGAGGACTCATCCAAAACAAGGAGTAACCGAAAGCCTCTTATTTCAAAAGTTTGCGTATACGTCCACAAAAAAATTTATAGTGGGAACATAGCCCAAACGAATGGTGAACCTAACAATCCTAATTTCTGGCAGATAAGCCACATCTTCAAACTTTCACTGACAAAACTGCATAGGCTATAACATCTGCCATGACGTGATGCGAAGGGTTTGCTCAATCAGAGTGTACTATCTTTTAGCAGTGAAAGACGATTCATGTACATGCAACCTCTGTTGTCTATTGATGAGATAAAGATCACATCTTGTCAAAGCATTCAACAAATTGCACGAAATAATCGGTTGCTTAGTTTTGGATAGACAAAATTGTAAAGATAGGCTTGAACTTGTTAGGTGAATAACTTCCAGTTTTTAATGAAATACTGAAAATAATGATAATGAAAATAGCATTGTTATACTCCAATTTATATGGAAATCTTTCATCACCTTTCAAGTTTCTTGAGTGCAATGTTATGAGAAAATCCTCATTTCTTAAGAAAGTTCTTAATACAATATCTAATGATTAAATGGAATAACTTATGTTTCAGCTGAAACAGAGAGCCAAAATTATTGTTCTTGGCATTGGTGATGATGCAAAAAACTTGGAAGGCTACACTAACCAACCTCAAACAATTACTATCAAGGAATGGAATGCAGAATCAAAGGAGCTCATGGTCAATTTAGTTTTTTTTCTTGCAAATCTTTATGTAATCCTTTTTAAGATATAAGAAAGCCCGCCTCACGTAGTTGATTACTAGTAATGCGCAGAATAATTTGTTTCCTTACAAAACAGTACCTACATCCCTTGTTTACAGGTATTCAAAGCTGAGCGGGTTTGTTTAGGTGTATGAGGCTGTGGGCTTTTCCGGCTTGGACAAAGATTTAGACATGGCTAACAACTTCTCTAATGTAGAATCAGATTTTCTAGGCCCTCGTCAATCTCGAAAACAGGGTTAACGTGGTTAAGTCATCGTCAATGTGATAGGATCAAGGTGAAGACAGAGCTCCACATTCCCTTTCGAACTTATTGTTAGGCAAATAATGACCCGACTTGTAGTATAGGTTAGGCCTTACCAAAGGTACCTGCATACGTACCTCAGGACATTTTAGATGAATAATAATGAAACTATATGTTTCTAGTTTCTTGCTATTATCATTGAAAGATTCCCATCTTTTTTGAAGTTAGTATTCTGTTTCAGAAAGCCGATACTATGGTCAACCAAATCTTCACTCGTAGCACATGCAGAGTCTAGAGATTCCCCTGAGAATAAAGTTTTTTTGATTGTGAAAAAAATCAATACCAAAACTTATGCTTGTTTTACGATCTGCAGACTAAGGAACAGGAGAGGGCAAAGACAAGAGGTTTACCTAGTGGGCGCATAATATTAGCTGTTAATTATCATGCATCTACACATCAAAAGTATTTTTGAAGGTGGATGACCGCTTGTACAGTGTACAGGCAAATATTCAGAATGAAAAGCAATAATAAGACATGACAATAAATTGTACATTTTTAATGGGGTTTCATCGTAAATTAATTTTTAATGTTCAAGCATTTCAATGTTCATTCAAATAGAATGCTATCTATCAAATTCAATGTGTCCAAGTTTCTGACTCTCTTACTTTTACGGTGACGGATAGAGCTATTAGTACCGGTCACATCAGGCATATAAGTAAGAATAACGCAGTAACTTTTCACATGCATTAAAAAACAAAAATTTGAGCCGAAAATGAGATAATACGTATTCTATTAGTGTCATAAAATTAGTTAATCCATGATTCCAAGCTACTCGAAGCTAAGCTGGCTGCATCATTGACGCAATTAACTTTTTTGCAGTTTAAGGTTCCCTTCTAAACGGTACAGAATTTCTGAAAATATGCATACATGTATAATGTTGTCTGTATGTATAATTAATACTAAAACCAGACCTTCTGTTGACGCTTAGTAACAACTTAACCGCCCATGAACATCCAAATGGCTTTTATAAAAGATTTATTGTTTGTGATCATCCAATTTGGATGACTATTAACAGTACAATCTCTTATAAAAGCCATTAATGCATTTGGTCTTGCCTTTTTTCTGCTCATCTACCTGGTGTGCCCGGTACTTTTTTATCGTCGTCCTTATGATTTTGCAAGGTGCAGTCCTCGAAAACTTTTATTTATGTCTTCCTTTCATAGCCCTTCATAAAGCCATTTAACGTTCGGAATATTCTCGTTTCAAACAAGTTACTCTCCAATTTGCATGCAGTTGATGACCACGTTTGTTAAAGGTTTAGGTCCGATTCAGCTGTTCTCAAAATTCTTTGCTGGTTGCTAGGTATTTTTAAAAAAGAACTTCGTCGATTAAATCTTTCTTATTTCCACCAACTGACAAAAAAACTTATTACGAAAACCTTATCCGTTATTTTTTACTTCCCAACGATAAAAGCAACATATGATCAGTAAAGATGGCAACTGCTCCATAGTTACTTTAAACTCTGTTACTTCCTTTTTTGGAATGAAGCGGTCGTCTGCTATAAACTCCGCTCTTTATCATCCCACATCTCACATGTGCTCCTTTTCCAACAACATTTCACTTTCGCCAGTATGTGCGTGTTCCTGATGCAAGTTCCGCAGGCAACACTGCAATCGAACTCCGAACCCTTTTCAAAACCTGACAAAGGCTTGAGCGAGGCTTTCAAGTGGAACGAAATTGGGAAGGTGCTAGCAAAGGCGAATTGCCCAAAGATGATTTAAACCGAGTCAATGCTATGCAAAAATATCCTCAGAATCACCATCTATCAAAAAAAA